TTGCAGATCTCAGGTAACACAGCCAGCAGTCACTGCATGAAGCTCTTCCAGAAGGGCTGTGTGCCTCCTTCCACGATGTATCCAGGCTCTTCGGCTGCGTGGCTGGGTTTGTGCCTGCTCGGTGGACAGAGTCTGTGCTAAAGAGAACTTTTTGTCTGGCAGACTGTACCATTCATCTCGGGGTGATTGTGCCATTCTGAGGAGGTGGCACGGACTATCCATCCTCCCTGGGGAACAGCGGAAGCGTTTAACAGACATGGGGGCTTCTGGAATTGTCCTTCTAATAGCGTGGAGATAGCACGTGACTCATGCCAACCAGCAACACCTTTGCGTTTGACTATTTCAGGCAGGGACTGGAGGTATGTATGACAGCCATTTGAGAAGGTCCCAAATCTCTCACTTAAAATTTGGGGATTTTGCTCGGGACTCAGCCTTGATGCGTTCTTTCGTAATTCATTCACCTGGTTTACCCCCTTCTGTATGTTCCCCTACCTGCCCTGCTCTTGTAATAAGGTAAGTTGTGTTTCTAGTCATTTATATAACAAGCATAGATGCTCCTTATCATTTGACGTTAGTGGGGACGTGCTTTTGATGTTGTCTTTTCCTCCCGTTTTGTTCTCACTACGCTGGGGCAAACTCATAAGTTTATATTTCTCTGTTTTCTGAGCACAAGTGAAAACAAGGCATTTTGAAGCATGACTTAAATATTGTATTTTGTTTTGTTTTGTTTTGTTGTTTTTCTGGCTGAAGACATTCAAGGCTCCAACCGTGTTTAAAGGAATGGGGGAAACAGTTTTGCTCAGTGAACACTTTGCTTAAAGGCGCCAAGCAGTTCACTGGCCATCACCTCTGTTAGCACATTACTGTGTTCAGGGCGTCTACTTTTCCAGCCTTGGCCCCACTATTGTTACTGCTCCAGAAAGAGGCTCTGCTGTGAGTGACAGGAGAGGCTGTGTGCGTCCACACAGCACCCATGCCAGCACTTCCTGCCCCTTTCTGTGATAAAAATACAGGTTTGCTTTTCAGCAAAGGATTTAACTTCTGACACCTTAAATTGTTTTGAAAGCCAGAGCTTGAGGAGGAGAATCATTGAGTGAGCCAGTTGTTTTTTCTGTCCAATATTTAAGCAATAAAAGTATCTTCAGGTTATCTGAGAATAAATGGAATTCAGGCTCTGTAATGTGGGAAGACTCATCAACACTAATTTTAGGTATTGGGTAAGAATAGCAAGTTAGGGGGCTTATTTTCTTTTTTTAATGATGAACGGATATAGATATCATAGTCTTAGAAGATGAGGGTGTGTTTGGTTTCTTCTGACTGTAGGTACAAGAATATTGGTGTTTTGTATATAATCTCTGTAAGACTCCTTCCAGTGTGCCAGTGCTGGCCAACATGGCGCTTCCCTTGGCTTCGCCTCTCGGGATGTGGGGCTGCAGAGCCACCCAGTTTTAGAAACCATTCTTTCTTTAAACTCAAATTTGCTTCACAAACTTTGTTTTTTGAAACGTAAGTACTTTAGGTATTTTTTAATCCACCCTTGACAATTTTTCACTCTTAATAGATACTCCTCCTTTGCCCTAGATATAGATGACCCAGCGAGGGAGAGGACGAGGGCAGCTTTTATAGCTGCAGATAACTGAAGTCAAGAGTCTCTGTGAAAATATGTGGGTGGAACCGAGGACAAGAACTAGCTCTACTGTATAGTCTAGCTTTTGTTTAGATTTTAAAAAATATGGTTGTGGTTGTGTATATATATGTGTATATATGTGTGTAGTGTGTGTGTGTTCGTGTGTGTGTGTGTGAGCATAAAACAGGTACCAATGGTGCCTTGTCTGCATGCTCCTAACTTGCCAACACTCCAGAGAGTAAACTACAGTTAGAAAGAATGATTGAAAGCTTAAATCGGTTCCTCAGAAACCTATTTATAAAACTCACGGAAACAGAAATGATTCCCACTTTAAGACAGAACGTATAAATTTTGTCACTTGCTAATTAGTTATGTTGGACATCTTTTCTTGAGTGTATTTTACATTCCTTCTCACTTTTAAAGTCCAGCTTGGAGCAGAAACCCAACCTGAAGTAACTGAAATTCCTCACAGAGAATATATTAACCTTCACTGAACATCTGTGAGCTACTTAGCAAAGCTATGGTGAATGTATTTCACAGATAATCAAATTGGATATTCATCATCAAGTCTCATGGCTGGATTTTTCCAATTGAATTATTTTTTCACAAGAACAACAGTATAGTATATTTCCCTGATTTTTAAGTGGATAGTAGTGAAAAGTGCCTTTGCCAAATATGCATTTTTGTGTGATTTTAGTCTTGTAGTGAGAAAAAGACAAGCAAAAATAAGAAGCAGGTAGAGACAACTCTTTCATCTTCTGGGTAATTATTTTAGGCAATGGTAAGATCAAAAGAGGTTGGTATCTTAACATACAAAGTTAAAATTATTTGAAGGCATGTATGTCTATGTGTAGACATGTATATGTAAGTACAGGTACTCTCGGAGGTCAAAGAGTGCATTTCTTTGAGTGTAACTCCCCTGAACTGGAGTTACAGACCATTGTGTGGTACCTGCTTTGTGCTGGGAACTGCATTTAGATCCTCAGCAAGAGGAATATGTTGCTGACTGAACTGTCTCTCCAGGTCCAAGACTGGTGTCTTGTATCTGCAGAGTGATTTTTCTTTTTACATGACTTGTTTTCTATAGTAAGATTTTTCAGGAATTGTATTATTGGAAATTTCAAGTGTGTCGAAGAGCACAAGAGTGTGGACAGTCGTGCACACACCAACCACCCAACTCTATAAGTATTCTTTCTGGTTCTCACTCTGTATACAGCTATGTACACATCCACCCTCTAGCCACCCATCAGTCTCTGTTTTTAGATGCATTTCTAAGTAAATCGCAGACATCCACACACTCCATCCCTAAGGATATGCCTGCTGAAATGTTTAGCTAGATTCCAAGTTTCCAGGACTCTCCTTTAAGCATATTTTGAGCAGGACTGAGAGGTTTTGAAAAGAAAGTGCCCTCCTGTTTTCATGTGGCACCAAGTATCTCCATACTCTATCAAGAGTGTCTAGTGTAACCTTCAGGAGCCTGTGTTTTAAAACTGGAGGGCAAAAATCCCTGACTTTAAGATAAAGGGAAACTAGTTAAAGGAGAAGCATGCGTGTGGGCCTTTCTCCAGCCTCGGTCTCCATTCCCAGGCCAGACTTCACCCACTGAGGATTACTGGCAGTCATGGGACCACTGGTAATGCAGCACCATCTCACTCCCGTGCTGGGTGGAAGAGGTGGAAGGCACACGCGAGCGGTTTCCAAGGCTGTTTGTGCTCCTGGGCCAGACTTCACTCCTCTTTCCCACAGGTTCACGGGAAGGAGCCCATGGCCTCTTGAGCCATCAGCAGCTGGCCTGCTTGAACTCTTTGGTTGCTCCTCTTCCTCTCCACTGTCTCCACCTCTACCCTTTCCGCCTTCTCCCAACTGTTTCCCCTCCAGATACAAGTAAACAAATTTTCTTATTTTCCCCTAAAGTCATTTCTGGTTCATGAATTTCGTAACAATGGTTACAGGAGACTAAAATGACAGGTTAAAGAATCACATGACCTCTTAAAGGGATTAATTAGTTTTTCTTGATCTTAATTAAAATGTAAATGATTGAGGATTGTCCTGTCATTACTCATTCATGAAGTCACTCCTCGCTCACTTGAAGGGGCACCATACTACTCTCTAAGACCTGTGTCAACGCAGGCCCTAAAAAGAAACTTTTCCTGAGCTCCCCACATCTGCCAAGTTTCCTAGGCGCCAGCATCTTTCACTAGCAGTGGCCCAAAGCATTCCCATCAGGAACAACAATGGGGCTGGAAGTTATGTACAATCTGCTGAACCATCTGGTCTGGACTGTTATGTGTAAGGTAGAGTCTTAATGTGATTCTTGCCTGCAAAAGAGTGTATTTGTGAGAGTTAATTTGTATCAATAGCCTGTTGACTTACAGTATGACCCCTGCACCTGTACTCTCCTCCACTTGGGTCTTACAAACCCTGGCCTACAGCACAACCACAAGAAACCTTTGGAGATTCCCCGAGAAGCCAGTTGGTGTGTAGCTGTCTTTGTGGGTCACTAATTTTTTTACTGTTAAAAGACAGGGAAGAAAAAACATCTAGAAAGTCCATTTGATAGTTGAAGTTCGTAGTCTATATAGTTTTTAAAAGTTATAAAATACTAAAATATGAATGTTCATGCTTGTTCTAATTAATTAAAATAATTAATGACCTCTTTCATTCTTCCTTCCATCCTTTCTTTCTCCTTCCTTCCTTCCTTCCTTCCTTCCATCCATCCATCCTTCTTTCCTTCCTTTCTTTTTTTCTATTAATGAATCAAAAAGGCAGACTGGGTTTTGCACTTTTGCAGCCCCCAGTCCAGCACCTGATGAACTGGAAGGACTATGGTTGCCATCACCACACTGAAGAGGAAGCTCGGGAGTCAGTGTTTTGAGCTATCTAATAAGACAATCTCTCTTACCCACTACTGAATAATATCCGGCATGAAACATTGAACTTGGAAGATGAAAGGGTAAGTAAGGAATACTCCATGGAAGAACAGTCACTCCTTCATAAAATACTACTTAGAGGAATTTCCTCAATTGGTTTTTCAGAAGAAAATCCCAGGGATTTAGGAAATACAGGAAAGAGATATGCCTAAGGCTATGAAAGCATTTCACATTCACAAAGTTATACGTATGTGCTGCTAACGTAGGGGGACATAGGTACCACAAGGACTGATGTAATGGAACCTGAAGCCAGACAACCTGGATCTGAATTCTGACTCCTGCTTCTTATCTTTATGACCGCCTGTGGTTTGGATGTGCTTTGCCATATTCAGAAGCATAAATTGAAACTTGGTGTTGGAGAAATTGTGCCTTTCTTGGAAGACTAGATTAGTGCTCACAGGAGAGGCTTAGGTGGGTGGTGACAGAGCAAAGTGGCAGCTTTGCCTCTGCCATCTCCTCCGCACACATTGTGAGGTCCTGGCGTGATACCGAGTGCATGCTAGCACACTGCTTTGAGATTTCCAGAACCATGGGCCAAATACACCGCATTTCCTCAAGCATTGCTCAACTCAGGTAGTCTGCACAGCAATAGAAAGACTAACCAAATGCGGGAGGAGCCCTCCGTGCCTTACAGGGTGCCAATCACAGGGTCTTCTTCACAGGAAAGAAAGAAACACTCAGTAAGTTAATATTTGTGAAGCAAAAGAGCATGCCCAGCAGGCGGTGGGTTTAAATGACAAAACTAAAAGGTGGAGAAACTAAAGTCCAGAGAGGTTAACGACTAGTTCCCAAACACACAGCAAATCCATAAAATGTCTGGGATGTGGCAAAGGCGTTCAAACCTGAGGCCTGGTTCAGAAAATTGCACATTGCCCAAGAGCTGATTTTGATCAAAACACAGGTTTGTATAATTTGCTGCTTCTCAGTCGGGCAGTGGTGGCACACGCCTTTAATCCCAGCACTCGGGAGACCGGGGCAGGCGGATCTCTGTGAGTTCGAGGCCAGCCTGGTCTACAGGAGCTAGTTTCAGAACAGGCTCCAAAACTACAGAGAAACCCTGTCTCAAAAAAATCACAGGAAAAAAAAAAAAAGAAAAAAGAAAAAGAAATTGTTGCTTCTCTACAAGAACTTTAGGAAATCACCTGGTGCAGGATCCTGGTAAACACTGCCGTTTTTCACTACACCTTCTGTATTCTGCATTCTTCCTCCCGATGTTGTGATTTTACAGGCTTTTCAAGTTCGTTATTTAAAATTTATTTCTATTTTAGTTATGTCTCTGTGTCTGTGAGTTTATGAGTGTGAAAGTTGGTGCCTGAGACAGGCAGAGACTTTAAGTCTCCCTGGAGCTGAAACTATATGAAGTTGTGAGCTGCCCAGCGCTGGCACTGGGAATGGCTTCTAACCACTGGTCAGACTCTCTAACCCTCAATTCATTTCTAAGTTCCCACCCAGCAAGTCTGTGGAGACAGGTCACAGTTATTATTTTTCTCGTGTGTTAACCGTGCTGGAGAAAGGACAAGTGATATACAATTACATACATGCACACACAAACACACAGCACACACATAAACTTATGCTCACAGATGCACTCACATATGCATACACACGTACACATGCACCTATGTGGATGCACACAGATACAAATATCCTTGTAGTGGGCCAAGGGATAGCATGATAAACTAAGAGAACTGTAAGAAGAAATGAGGAAAATATCCAATAACATAAGAGAGAACGTAACCCCAACCACAGTCCCCCTGCTTCTAAGACAAGCATGGAGTCTATTTTTAAATTTTACACATTGAAGTAAACTCTGAGATAGATATTACAGCATACACTCCTGCTTTGTAGATGACCTAAATGTTAGCATATCAAGGGTATGTGCTAGGGATATTCCTCGGTCATAGAGTGCTTACCTTGCATGCATAAGGCCCTAGGTTCAATCCCTAGCACTGCCAAGCTCCCACTCCAAATCCAAGAAGTGTGTAACAGGTCTTTTGGAGCTAGTGAAATGGCACATAAAGGTACTTGCTACACTGCCTTAGAAACCCTGAATTTGATTCCTGGGACCCAAAGAAATGTGGAAGAAAAGCGAAAGCAGTTTCACAAAACTATTCTGACCTCCATGTGCATGTGTGTGGCACACACTACGTAAGTAAATAAAAGTAATTATATATAAAGTGGGCCTGGCGAGACGGTTCATCATGTACAGGCATTTGCCCTCAGTTTGATAAACCGAGTTGGAGTCTTAGGGCCCACCAAGTGGTTGTTTTCTTTTTTTTTTTTTTAATTTATTTATTTATTTATTATGTATACAATATTCTGTCTGTGTTTATGCCTGCAGGCCAGAAGAGGGTACCAGACCTCATTACAGATGGTTGTGAGCCATGTGGTTGCTGGGAATTGAACTCAGGAACTTTGGAAGAGCAGGCAATGCTCTTAACCTCTGAGCTATCTCTCCAGCCCCAAGTGGTTGTTTTCTTGCCCAGTTTTAGGATTTGACCTGGCTGGGATGGTGAGAGAACGAAGAGAAGACAAACACACAGACAGAAAATAAGGGCCCGGGTGGACCGGACTCTCTGCCGGAGAAGTCGCAGCACCCTGGAAGCTCAATGTATTTATGATATGCAGCTGAACAGGGCGTTATTGCATGCAACTGAGCAAGGAGGTGGGGTCTGAGGCACTGTGGTTCTCGGCATGGCTGTGTCCTTGTCAAACAAGACAGACTGCTCAGGGCTTCACTCACTCCCTACGACAGTGGAAGGAAGGAAGTGACTTTTACAACTTGTTCCCTGATCTCCACGCATCCAACATGGCACACACTCCGATCTGAGCAAACAAAGACTACATGTCTTTAAAAGCTGGGAGAAACGCCTTTTGAATAAAGGGTATGCCTCCTAAGCTCCAAAACAGTTTTTTAAATGGGGGTATATTACTCCAGTGTCTAATCCCTGTAGTAGGACATTTTCTCTAGTGCTCCTTATCATACATGCAATCAGATGACTTATTAGAACATTGCTGTTAAACACTGAGAATATTTTGAGACTAAATGGCCTCATTTATAGGCTGTAGTTTCATGTTAAAACTACAGATGTCTTTCTTCCCCCTTCTTCCCTAGGGCCTCAGTGAAACTTTAGATCCGTACTCCGCATGTCCTGGACCCAGAGAAAATGCAACAGACTCTTGCTATCCAAAGCATGTTCCTGGGAGAGCAAGTGATGGGAAGCACAGCCTAGAGGAAGCCACAGGCAGGACAGAGATGATGGAGGCTTGGCGCTTGCAGAGGGTCCATGAAGTTCGGAGATAGGGAACTTGGGTCTGGTTCCTCACAAGGCTGGGATGGCAGAACTTTGGTTGGGAGACTGAGGATGCCTGGTGAAGACCCTGCACTCTTGTGGATCAAGCAGGTGTGAGATGAGTAGAGGGGATGACGGTGACCATAAGTGCATAGACACCAAGTGGGTGCCATCTTACCTAAATCTGTATATGGACTGTTTTCCACAACTCTGAGTAGAGGAAGAAAACTCATAAAGAGAAAGAGCAACAAAAGACTGGGCACCAAACCTACACCTACTCATTCCCTTAGGATATGTTCGTGCAAACAAAATGAACTTAAGATTCCGAACAACTTAAGGCTTTCTGTGTGCAACATTCTGTCTATTTGTATTTTTCACATCTATGCTACATCTATTTATCTCTGACAAAATGTTATTAGAGAAAGGCAGGAGAGCTGAATTAACCAAGCTAATTGATCATTAAGTATAATCGTCCATTAAGTACAAATTTCCATTTATAATCTATTTCATCCCGGAGGATTTCAATTATTAGATTGCTTTATTGATATGCCGAGGAGGTAATCATTAAGTGTGTAAACAAACAATATAAATTTCCACATGAGAAAGAGAAGACTATTGATCAGTTATGCATATTGTCAGGAAATCATCTAGAAGGGTGAAGACAGGCACGAGACTAAAGAGAGGTGAGTCTCATCTCAAAACCCATCTGCTACCTCTTGGCATCTTCTCAATGGTTTCAGGACATGACCCATGCTGTGCTCAAAGGTTCAGCCGTGTGTCCTCGGAAAAGTAACTTAACTCCGGTGATTCTCTAATTTCTCTTTCATAAGCAACAGGTAATGCAGAGACTCATCCCAAAGGGTTTCTGGCAGAAATAAAAGAATTAAACTTGGAACCTTCTAGAAACATTCTTGGTGCTCCATGAGCCGGTGAACATCTTCAGGAGCATGGAGTGCCGTGTCCAGCCTCTGACCTCACTCTCCAGCACCCCCTCTCCCTGTCCTCTCAGCACAGGCAGGCTGTAGATGACATGAGGGTCCTGTCAACTCTCAGCTCCCATGGTCTTATTTTTCCTGCCTTCTCAGACTTCTTTTCTGTCTGGAATGAGGACCCCTTGCCTTTCTTGCTGAATGCTTCTCCTGGAGAAAGAATAAGGATTGCTAATTCCCGCTTCTGTCTATTTCTTGTCTTGTCAGACCAGCATTGGTAAGAAGATAATGGCCTTCTTTGCAAAACCCTTCAATCTGAGCTGGACACAGCTCAGGGCCCTGTGTGATAATTAGCAGAGTATCTTAGTGGTCCAGCATAAGAAAAAATCCCCAAGGTCAGGCAGCATGCACATTTATCATATTTGTTGGTCCCTGCCCACTGTGGCCATCTTAGGTACCCAATAATGGTTTCTGTCTGTTCTGTCTGGTTTCTCAGCACTGGGGATCACACCCAGGGATGTTACATGACAGATAAGCACTCACCACTGAGCTACCAGCCCAGACTCAACCATCATCTCCTGAACAACTTCATTTGCCATCATAATGTGGAGTCAAGAGACAGGACACTGGTGTGGGAGAATTGTCTGTATTCTGTCAATCATATTTTAATAAAACGCTGATTGGCCAGGCAGGCAGTATAGGTGGGAAAGCCAGACAGGAAGTAGGGGTGGAGCAAGGAGACTGGGAGTATTCTGGGACACAGGAAGCTCCCTCCGCAGTTCTGCCCAGACCACCGGAGAGGAAAGATGTAAGCTGCCCCGCTGGAAAAGGTACTGAATCATGTGCTAACGTAGATAAGGATAATAGGGTAACATAAGTTATAAGAGCTAATAAGTAGCCTGACCTAATGGGCCAATCAGTTTATAACCTTATGGAGTCCTGTGTGTGATTTCTCTTTGGGGCATGCCAGCTGTGGGGTGTCGGGCAGGACAGATACCCCAACAAGCCAGCCCTCATGCCCTCGTGTTACAGGACACTTCGTATTAGTTTTGTTTCAAGTACTCTGCCTACATTTTATTAGACTTACATGGAGCAACCAAGCCAGAATTAGTGACACTTTCACAGATATTCATGAATTATAGTCTCAAAAAAGATGCCATGTGGTACCCAGGATCAGTCAATAACCAGAATGGAGGCAGCATGATGCTGGGCAAAAAGTGTGGCATTCATGGGTCCCACCCAGTGTTGCAGATGAGCTGTGTGGCTTGTTTGCTGTCTCTAGGTCTCATTTCTTAATTTAAGAAATGTATCTAAGGTCTGGGGAGATGGTTCAGTCAGTAAACTGTTTACAGAGCAACTGTGAGGATCTGAGTCCATTCTCAGAACGCATGTGAAAAATCTGGGCAGGGTAGAATGTGACTGTAATCTCACAACTGAAGCAGAGATAGGGGTATTCTGACCAGCCAGTGTAGCCTATTTAAGAACTTCAAGACCAGTGACAGATCCTGTCTTTTAAATAAAAAGGTGGACAGAACCTAAGTAGGACATTCTAATTTGTCCTCTGGCTTTCAAATGTATTGTAACCTGATAGTCATTCCTCCCCTCATACACACACACATACACACACACAGACACACACACATACAAAACTGTAGCTAGCTGCAGCTACCTTGTAATGTGAGGAGGTGTCATTGTAGCACAGATTTCCAATATTCCAATTCTTAGAACATCAGCTCCTAAGTAGATGCTCAATAAAAATCTGTTGGCGCTATGAAATGAGCTGAAGATTATTATGGTGTGTGTCACAAGGTTGCTAGCTGTCAAAACTCTACAGAAGCAGCAGATGCTGTTGTGTTTTGCTCCGTAAATCTAGAAGTGTAGTAAGAAAAAATGAGATGGAGAATGGTTCGGCAGGTAAAGGTGCTTGTCATTAAACCCGATGGCCTGACTCCCATTTCTAGAACCTACATGGTGGAAGGAGAGAACCAATTCCAGCCAGGGAGTTCTGCATGTTGTCCTCTCTCTCTCTCTCTCTCTCTCTCTCTCTCTCTCTCTCTCTCTCTCTGTCTCTCTCTGTCTCTCTCTCTGTCTCTGTCTCTCTGTCTCTGTCTCTCTCTCTCTCTCTCTCTCTCTCACACACACACACACACACACAAAATAAATAAATAAATGTAATTTTTTGCCTGTTTGTTTTTTCAAGACAGGGTTTCTCTCGACTGTCCTGGAACTAGCTCTTGTAGACCAGATGGACCTCAAGCTCACAGAGATCCAAATAAACATAGTTTTTAAAAATTAGAAAAAAATACTTTTTTTAAAAAAAAGCAGGAGATGGGCAGTGACTGAGAGGTGATAGCATATACCTTTAATCTCAGCACTCAGGAGGCAGAGGCAGGTGGATCTCTGAGTTTGAGACCAGCGTCGTCTACATTACAAGTTCCAGGATAGCCAGGGCTTTACAGAGAAACTCTCTCAATAAACAAGCTAACAAGAACAACAACAAAAAAACTCAAAACAAATAAAATTCAAAACCCGAAAACGGCTGGCAAGATGGCCCAGTGGGTAAAGGTACCTGCGGTCAAGCCTGAGAACTGGAGTTTGATCACTGGGACCATACGATGGAAAGAGAGAACTGAGTCCTGTAGGTTATGAGTGCTCTCATTTATACATACATGTACACACACAGTGCATGGATGCCATAGCACATGCTACATATACACAAATAAAAAATGTAATTAAAATTTTAAAAATAAGTATATGAAAGAAATTATTTGTTATTAAGAAAGAAGTCCCATGTCACATAAGACTGAAGGGGAAGAAGGTGTCCTTAGATTAGCTTTAAACATGAGGTAGATGCCTTTAATCCCAGCACTCGGGAGGCAGAGGCAGGTGGATCTCCATGAGTTCGAGGCCAGTCTGGTCTACAAGAGCTAGTTCCAGGACAGGCTCCAAAACTACAGAGAAACCCTGTCCTATCACTCGGGACGAGGAGGCTTGCCTAGGATAGATGAGCCATCGCCATTGTGGATTCTGGGGGAGCCGAGTCTGTGTGGCAATGGGAGCAAAAATAAAACAGGCGATCTCCACACACGTACCGAGTGCTTTGCAAATGTGTTTATAGAAATAGAGAAATATATAAGCACAACCTATAATCTTGTAGAATACTATACCTAGTGAAGTTTTGTGACTGCATCGTAAAATGCCCACAGCACATTCAAATGATTCTGTCACATCTACCTAATAGGATGTTAGATCAGTTTTTTAGATAAATGGTCCAAATGCATTTGGTAAAGTGAAGCAATGTTGAGTTTCTGATATTTTGCTTGTACCTCATTTACTGAGTCTTTTTTCTTGACATACTCAGAATCAACTGTGAATAAGAGGTACACCACTATTCCTAGAACTGAGGAGACAAATAGACCTTGGAAGTTTTCCAGTGAAGACTGAGGTGGGGCATGGCCAGCAATTCATGTGTGTGTGTGTGTGTGTGTGTGTGTATAGATTTTTTTTGAGACAGGGTGTCAGGTTTCCTAGTCTTGAACTTACTGTATAGTCAAAGATGACCTTAAGCTTTTACATGCCCAGTGCTAGCATTACAGGCACACACTGCCATGTTCATGTGGAGATGGGGATGGAACACAAGGCTTTGTGTGCACTAAAAAAAATTCATCAAATGAATTACATTCCTAGCCCATAAACCTGCATTTTTATTACATCCATCCATCCATCTATCTATCTACATCTATCTATCTATCTATTGTGTTTTCTTGTATGTGTGTGGTGTACATGTCACAACACATGTGTTAAGATCAGGGAACAATTTGTAGAAATTTGTTCTCTCCTTCTACTATGTGGGTCCCAGGGATTGAACTTAAATTGTCAAGCTTGGCAGTAGCACACTTACACGCTAAGCCATCTCACTGGCCCTATCCTGTGTTGTTGTTGTTTTTTTTATACAGTATGGTACTTTGAGGGGTCACAAATGTGTGGTTTTTGAGTTAGTGAGTTGAATGATGATCATATACCTAATGAAATCACTGGATAGTCTTCAGACTTCAGACAGCGGAGCCTCTAAGTCTCTAAGACACAGAGGCTATTTCTCCACTCAGATCTCTTCAGATTCCGACACACGAGTAGCCTGATTTGCGTCTTTGGGAATGTTTTCATATGGCCTAATGAAAGTACAATTCTAAATAATATGTGGAACTTGGTTGGCTGATTTTGTAGCAAATAAACACTGACTATCCTAACACTGGTTCCTAATTGCTTTCTTCTTTCCTGCCTCTACTACAGGTGCGTAGTAACTCTCCATGTCCCCCGCTTCCTGGGTACCTGAAAGTGAGGACAAGAATATTCATTGTTCACTAGCTACCGAGGGTGATGGGGGGAAGGGCTGTGGGTTCTCGTGAGGGAAGATGACTACGCTGTGTGCCAGTACTACTTTCTCTTTCTTCTCTCAAGTGCAGATGTGGTGCCTGGAGTAGTGGTACCAGTGTCCAATCAAAAAGAAAAGATCAGATCACCCAAGACCACCAGTTCCATTTTTTTATTGTTGTTATTGCATTCGTGTGGCATATGTGCATATGTGTATGTGTTCACATATGCTTGTGAGTACACATTGTGTGTGGGTGTGCGTGGAGGCCAGAGGTAGCTCCAGCGATCCCATCTCCACTTCCCTAGGGCAGGGACTGCTGGCAGGTCATTATGCCTGCCTGACATTAAACATGGGTGCTAAAGATTTGAACTCTAGTCTGCACACTTGTGAGACAATCACTTTTCCTATTGAACCATTTCCCCAGCTTCCATGGGCCCGAAATTTTGAGTCCTTGAAACCCTACTGGTAGCTACTAGCCTCTAAACTCCTGAGAGAAATCAACCCCTACCCTGTTAGACCACCCTTGGGTTTTATATTGCTTGAAGTTCACATCAAAAAATCTTGAGTTCACCCTAAAGATTTCATGTGACAGAAAATACATAAATTTAATTAACTGCAGCAAATAGGTCACTGTTCTATTTTGTAAGGTTCTTCCAATGGCAGTGACGCCAGGCACTTGAGGACATCAGTTCCTTTGTTGCCTTTCTCTACTAATTCTTTGTCAGCCTCCTCTACATCCTATCCATAAATATCTAAGTCTGCTTTTTTCTTCTTCTCATTATTATTATTACTACTACTACTACTATTATTATTAATCTCCTGGAGCCCAAGCTGGCTTCAAACTGACTATTTAATTGAGGATGACCTTGAACTTCCAATCCTGCCTCATCCTCCAGAAGTCTGTGACTACAGGTATGTGCCACCATGGCTAGTTTTATGCGCTGTTGAAGATCAAATCCAGAACCTCACACATGCTACTCAAGAGATCTACCAACTGAGCCCCAGCTCTTAGGTCTGCTTTATTCTAAAGACACACTTAAAATCCATCACTTTTTCTATAAGCTGCGCCCTACCTGCACCACGGTTCTCCAGAAGGACACTTCTCTGTGCGGCCACTACTCAGACTTTCTCATGACTTTTCCACTATCGTTGCTTTGTCCCACTGTCTATATCAATATACTGACACATCTCAGTTTCTGCGTGTGTGTGGGTGGGGGAAAGACAGTGATAATACTGGTTTTCTTGGTTTGATATTAGCTTGAGAGATGGTGGTCACTGGATTTTTCTGTTTTAACTTCTTCACAGAACAAATTACTGCGTTACAGTGCAAGTAACCTG